CCGCGCCGCCCGCGCCCGCTCCAGCTCCCGCGCCGCCCGCATCCGCTCCAGCTCCCGCGCCTCCCGCGCCCGCGCCCGCGCCGACGCCCCCAGCACCACCCGCGCCCGCGCCGATGCCGCCGCGCGCCCGCTTCGCGCCTCTCGCCTTGTGGCGCTCCGTGCCGTCGCCGCGGCCGCCGCCGTGGCCGTCGTGGCCGTGGCCGCCCTCCTCCCCCGCGCGGTCGCGCTTCGGGTCGAAGTGGAACATGCGCTTGATGCAGTCGATGGCCGCCGTCGCCGCCCGGGCGTCGCCGCGCTGGCGCGCGGCCTCGGCGCCGTAGCAGTGCGCGAGGAACATGCGCGCGCGCGCGGCCTCGGCGTAGCCGCGCGCGAAGTCGTACATGGTCTGCTCCGAATCGAGGGGCGGCAGCTGCTCCATGGCCTCGTCCCAGACCTTCTGCTCCGGGGACCGCGGGTCCGCGGGCGCCGCGGGCGCCGGCGGCGCCGCGGGCTCCGGCGGCGGGCCGCCCGCGGGCGGCCGCGGCGCCGCGGGCGGCCGGGGCGTCGCGGGCGGCTTCGGCGCCGCCGGCGGCCGCGGGAGGGACGGCGGCCGCGGCGCGCCCGGCGTCGGCGTCGCCTCCTCCTCGCTCTCGGAGTCGTCGACGACGATGGCGGCCGTCGACGGGCCGTCCGCGCCGTGCGCGACGCGCCGCACGTTGTCCGCGGCGGTTTCCAGGCGCCGCCGCACGTTGTGGACCTGGTGCGCCGCCTTCTCCTTGCGCCCCCGGTGGGCGAGGGACGCCTCGACGGCGCCCGACACGGCCGTCGACGCGAGCCAGCCGTAGTCGAGCGCCGTCTTGAGCACCGCCGCGCGCTGCGACTCGTCCAGGCTGCAGCCCGGTGCCGCGAGCGCGTCCCGCACCTCGAAGGTCGTGAACGCGCGGATGGGGTCCGCCGCGTCGCCGTCGCCGCCCACCTTGGCCGCGAGGCGCCCCTCGAGCTCGCGCCGCGCGGCCTCGACGAGCTGCGCGGCGCGCACCGCGGCGACCCGGAGCGCCTGGGCCCGCCGCGCGTCGTCGCCCCGGGCGTTGGCCTCGAGGTGGCGCGCGGCCTGGTAGGACCGCGCCGCGCGCCGGAAGCACGCGCTCCAGCGCTCCCGGGCCGCCGCGGCCCTGGCGAGCCAGAGGTCGCTCTCGACGACGGCGTCGCACTCGTCGCCCGCGGCCGCCACGCGCAGCCGCCGCGCCTCCGCGAGCCGCGCCTCGGCGGCGTCGTGGTCGTCCACACCCAACAACGCGGCGCCGAGGCGGTGCGTCGCCGCCGCGACGGTGAGCGCGCCCTTTCGCGCGGCGGCGGTCGGCGGCGGGCCATCGGCCGGCGGGTCGCCCTCGGGCGCCGCGGCGAGGACGAGGTCGAGCGTCGCCGCGGCGACGTCGACGCGCGCGGCGGGCCGCGCCTCCGGCGGCGCGTCGACGACGGCCCGGAGCTTGGCGACGACGCCGCCGACGCGGTCGCCGAGCGCCGCGGCGCGTTCCGCGAGCGCCGCGCAGCCGGGAGGCGCGGGCTTGGACCGCAGCGACGTCGCGACGGCCGCGGCGCGCGCGCCGAGGGCCAGCGCCTCGCGCTTCAGCAGGGGCTGGCGCGCGCTCTCGAGCGACGCCCTGGCGCCGAGGAGCGACGCGCGCGCGCCGCCGCCGCCGCCCTGGGACACCGCGGACCCGTAGCCGGCCCGCGCGCGCTTCCACTCGTGGCGCCAGGCCGCGTCGGCGACGGCCCGCTTCGCCCGCAGCTGGTCGTCGGCGGCGTGGGCCGACACGGCGGCCTCGAGGCGCAGGGTCCGCGCGAGCAGCTCGCGCTGCTCGTTGCGCAGTGCGGCGCCGAAGCCGAAGCCGCCGCCCTCGGACTCGGCCTCCGACTCGGAGTCGGAGTCTCCGCGTCGTCGCGGTTTCGGTGGTTGTGGAGGTGGTCCTGGCGGGGCAGCCATTGGAGGCGGTGGGGGTGGCAGCCCTGCCATTGCCTGTTGCTTGCGCGCTGAGGTTAACGTTTTATGTGAAGAACAAGTTGAACCACTAGTAAAATATGGGCCTGCATCGAGCCGCATCTGTGCTCGCCTTGGCGCTCGTCCTGCGCACTGTCGCACCTTTTGGCGTTTGTCGTCGACCACTGCTGCGACGCAACGCGCTGCGCGCGGCGCTGCGCGCGACGGAGGACGACATCGCCTTCATCCTCGAGGGCGACGACTGGGACGACGACGACGACGACGGCGACTTCGAGGCCGAGCTGCACGCGCGGGCGGCGGCGGAGCACGCGATCTACGAGGGCGTGCAGGTGCCGCTCGGCGCGCCGTACCCGTCGGCGGCGCAGGCCGTGCGGCGCGACGGCGTCGCGCTGCTCGACGAGTGCCTCTGCATCGGCGAGTGCGAGCAGCTGCGCCAGGCCGTGCTCGGCGCGCGGGATAAGGCCGTGGCCGCCGTGCGCAAGGGCGCGCCGTCGGCGGACCACCTGAGCGCCGTCCTCGGCGCCGCGGAGCCCGGCGACGCGCCGACGCGGTTCGACGTGCGGCTGCCCTACGAGGGCGTCGTGGAGGCGTCGGCGAAGAAGCTCCTGGGCGGCGCCCTCGGCGCCGTCTTCGAGGAGCTCGTGGGCGGCGACGGCGAGCTCTGGGAGCTCGCGGCGCTCGTGTCGGAGCCCGGCGCGCCGCCGCAGGCCGCGCACGCGGACACGGTCTGGGACGCGGCCCCCTGCCTTTATACCGCCTTCGTCGCTTTACAGGACGTCGACGCGGAGCTGGGTCCCACGCGCTTCTTCCCGGGCACGCACGCGACGCCAGACGCCGAGGCCGCGCTCGACGACGACGCCGTCGGCTTCATGAGGGGCGCGGCGGCGACGTCGCGCGTCGCGCTCCTCAACTCGGGCGCCGCGTCGATCTACGACGGCCGCGTCGTCCACAGCGGCGGGCCCAACGACGCGTATTACGCGCCTTCGCCGTCGCGCGCCATGTTCTACGTCACGTTCCGCCACCCGGACGCGGACGCGGACGACCTCGGCAACGCGGACGCCCACTCCATCAGCCCGGCCCTCGCGGCGCGGGGGCTGCGGCTGCGGGACTTTAGGTAAGGATCGTGCACGTGGCATCGCTCGCCTTCGGGTGCGGCGAGAGGCTTCGGCCTTCCAGCGACGCGTGGGTGCACTCGCCCGTGTGGTCGTACTCGAGCACGGTGACGTTCTCGAGCGCGAGGTTCGTGATCGTCGGCCGCTTCTTGTGCTCCCGGATCTCGTCGCCGACGATCGTGTACGCGGTCTCCGCTTTGTGCACGAAGAGGTTGCGCACGGTGACGTTGTCGAAGACCGAGGTCTCGTTCTCCGGGCACGGGTCCGTGCTCCCGTCGCCGTACTCCATGTCCAGCCAGACCGCCGAGCCGTCGATGTTCAAACCGGTGATGTTCTCGTACAGGACGTCGCGCACGTAGGCGCCGCGTCCGCACTGCGACTTGAGCTTGACGGGACTCCCGGAATTGACGACGACGTTGACGAAGGTCACGTTGCGAACACCCGACGCGATCTCCGAGCCGACGGTCAGGCCGTGGGCGTGCGCGCAGGTGACGTTCGAGACGAAGATGTTCTCGCAGGGGACGCCGCACTCCTGCTCCCAGGGCCGCGGGTCGTCGTTCTTGCCCGACTTGACCGCGACGCAGTCGTCGCCCGCCTCGTAGTACGAGTCCGCGAACGTGACGTCCTTGGACGCCCACGGGTCGAAGCCGTCCGTGTTGTGGTGGTTGGCGCCCGTCGTGGAGCCGAGGATCGTGAGCCGCCGGAAGTCGAGCCGCTGCGAATACGACGGCCGCAGGGTCCACTGGCTCGAGTTCGTGATCGTCAGGTCCTCGACGACGACGTCGGAGCAGAAGAAGAGCTCGAGGAAGTGCGCGCGCCGCGCGTCGTTGTTCCACTTGGCGCCGCCGCCGTTCACGGTGCCGCCGCCCGTGATGCTGAAGTTGGACTGGCGGACCGCGAAGAAGACGCCGCCGCGCGTCGCGTTCTGCACGATCCCCGCGCCGCCGCACTTCTCGGGCACCTCGACCGCGCGGTCCGTCCAATCCTCCTCGGCGTCCGACGCGTAGAGAACCGTCTTCGGGCCGATGCGCAGCTCCGTGTGGCTTTGGAGCTCGACGCGCGCCACGCGGTACGTGCCCTTGGCGCGCGCGTGGACGACGCCGCCGCCGCGCGCCGACACCGCTTTTAAGGCTGAATTGATGCCCACGCTGCTCAGGGTCTTGTTGTCGGCCTTGGCGCCGAAATCCTCGACGTCCACGTCCAGCGCGAGCGCCGCGTGACACACCAGGAGCGCGGACACGGCACGCAGCATTGCGTTCTTTGTTCGACCCATGCCGCGCCCTTTCACGAAATAAACTTCAAACAAACGCTTATTAAGCACAAAAGGGCATGGCCCCCTCTCCATCACCCATGTTCGACCTGCCGGCGATGCTCATCAACCTGGACCGCGCGCCGGACCGGCTCGCGTTCATGGAGAAGCAGTTCGCCGAGCACGGCGTGCGCTACGAGCGGTTCCCGGCCGTCGACGGCGCCGCCGTCGCCGGGGACCCGGCGGCGGTCGTCGAGGGCTGCGCCGTCGAGTACTGCGCGCCGGCCGACTTTGGCATCGAGCGGGAGCGCTGGTGCCGCGAGGGCAAGAAGCTCCGCGTCGGCGAGATCGGCTGCGTCCTGAGCCACCTCGCGTGCATCAAGCGAGTCTACGAAGCGAACGAGCACGAGGCCGTCGTCGTCGTCGAGGACGACATCTCGCTGGAGTTCGTGCCCAAGTGGACGCGGAGCCTCGGCGACATCGCCCGCGCGGACGGCTGGGGCATCGTGAAGATCTCCTGCAACCACCCGGCGGGCGTGCGCAACCTGCTGAAGATGGACGAGGGCCTCGTGCCCTTCAAGCGCCACTACTGGTCCACGGGCATGTACATCATCAACCGCCGCGGCATGAAGCTCGTCCTGGACAAGTACTGCGCGGGCGCGGCCTTTCGCGTCATCAACGACTCGGCCTGCGGCGCGGCGGACTACGCGAGCACCCCGGCGTTTCGCCGTCGCTCGTCCGTCCGAACGCGCGCGTCCCGCAGGCGATCTACGACGTCGACGACTGCTTCATGTACACGGTGCCGCTCGTGTGCGAGGCGACGTTCGAGTCGACGGTGCACGACGCGGACCAGGAGCACACGGACTACAGCTCGTCGCCGGCGGCCAAGGTCGTCCGCGACTTCTACAAGGCCAAGGACCTGTCGGCCACCGTGTGGACATCAACCACTGGTTTGGGACGTCTTGACACTTGAAATTCTCTAGCGCGGTCAAATCGAAGTCGATTCGGCTGATTTTTGGACGGATCGATCGCGTCGAGTCCTCGAAGCACGGCCAAAGAGCTTGGTCCGAATCGTTCGCTTACTTGAAGTCGGGTCGAAGATTTGATTTCCACGTAGGTCGGCCATGCTCAAGGCCATGCCCGAGGACCAGCTCGCCGCGCTCCGGGAGAAGTTCCTGGCCGCGCAGCTCAACTCCGACAAGCGCAAGGCCGCGGCGCCGCCGCCGCCGCCGCCGACGGCCGCGCCCGCGCCCGCGCCGCCGCCCGCCGAGCCCGACGAGGACCCGAAGGCGAAGGTCGAGGACACGTCCCGCGTGGGCTGGCAGGCCAAGTGGTCGGCGCCGAAGAAGGCGCCGAGCTCCTTCGCCGCCTTCGCCGCGGCGAGGCGCGAGGCCGGGGGGAAGAAGGGCTAATCCGGCTTCTTAGCGCCCTTGGCGGCGCGGTCGGACGCGCGCTTCTCGGCGGCGGCCGCCGCGCCCGCGGCCTTGGACCGGAGCTTGCCGTAGGTCTTGTCCCGCTTCGCGGCCTTGCGCCGCTCGCGCGCGGCCCGGATGGCGTCGTCGTCGCGGTGCAGGGCCGCGAGGTCGTCGCGCCACCGCGCGCGGTCCGGCGTGTCCCGGAGCTTGACGACGTCCATGCCGAAGTCGCGCGCGGACCGCGCGCAGTCCTCGGTCTCGAGGTCCGTCGGCGACACGACGCGGCAGACGCCGGCGACGGCCACGAGCTTGTAGCAGCGCGGGCAGGGCGCGCGCGTCACGTAGATGGACGCGCCGCCGAGCGGCACGCCGCGCCGCGCGCAGTCGGAGACCGCCGCGGCCTCGGCGTGGACGTCGGACCGCGCGTCGCCGAAGAGGCCGCAGTTGATCGTCGTCGCCACGACCGCGCCGTCCCGCACGACGCAGCAGCCCATGTGGCCGTCCTTGGCCTCGCTGTTGCGCGCGAGCAGGTAGGCGAGGTCGAGGTAGTTCTCGTCCGCGGTCTTCCAATGGACCCAGCGCCAGCCGATGCGCGGCAGCCGCGCGAAGTCGGGCAGCGGACCCAACGGCTTCTCGTGCGTCTCGCGCCTGCGCCTTCGGCGGCGCAGCACCAGGACTGCGACGGCTGCGCACGTTGTCGCAGCGGCCAGCGCGAGTGCTCGACCGATCGCCATCGAAGACCTCCACGGCGGCGCTCATGAGCTCAGCTTGAAGTGCACCATGCCATATTGAAGCTCTCGCGCCAGCACGACGATCGAAGCGACGTTGAATTTAGCCCTCGCCGTCGCCCTCGGGGGGCGCGTCGAGGCCGCGCGCGCGGAGGCTCGGCGTGAAGTCGAGCTCGCGGAGGCCCGCGCCGGGGCTCGCCCAGGCGAAGGGCGGCGAGTGGTGGTCCGGGAGCGCGGGCTGGAGCGACGCGCCGCTCTGCGGGAAGCCCTTGCGGATGGCCTTCTTGGGCGAGATGGGCGAGAAGGCGGGCTTGGCGCCGTCCGCCGCCGCCGACCGCGCGACGTTCGCGGCGGCCGCGCGCGTCGCGCTCTGCACCGCGGCCGACGGCCGGGGCCGGTCGAGCTGCTCGTAGAGCGACCGCGGCGGGTTCAGGGGCCGCGCCTGGGTCGGCTTCGGCGACGGGTTCGGGTTCCGCGGGCTCCAGACGTGCGGCGCCGCCGCGTCGTCGTCGTCGCTGTCGGACGAGAAGTCGCCGTCGTCGTTGCGGCTCGACGGCTCCGACTCGTCGGGCGCGGCGACGAAGGCCGCGGGCCGCAGGCCCGGCCGCGCGGCGCCGGCGTCGGGGCTCCGCGCGTGCGCGCTGAGCGACGTGAACGCTTTCGCGGCGGCGTCGCGGCGCCGCGCGGCGCCGCGGTCGCCGGGCCCGTCGCCGCGGTGCTTGAGCGCGCGCTGGGGCGCGATGGCCTCGACGGTGGGGAGCATGGGGCTCAGGGCGTCGAGCATGGACCGCGTCCGCGTCGGGCACGAGTTCGGCGCGGAACCGCCCGACGACTCCAGGGGCGGGCTCCGGAGGACGGGCGACGGCGCGCGGCCGGGCCGCGGCGGCGGCGGCGGCATGGGCGACGGCGGCAGGGCCGCGGCGGCCGCGAAATTCGCGGCGCCGGGCAGCGCGGCGGCCCGGGGCGGCGCGGGCGCGGCCTCGGGCCGCGGCGGCGACCGCGACCGCGGGCTCTCGCCCGCGCGGCCCTTGCCGGCCTTGGACGGGTGGTCCGCCACCAGCCCCCGCAGGCGCTGCTTGTGCTCGTGGAGGAAGGCGTACCAGGCCTTCCAGGCCTCGGGCGGCGCGTACTCGAGGGGCGCGCTCCCGCGCGCGTCCAACGCGTGCGCCTGCCGGCTGTCCTCGAGGAGGATCCGCAGCGCGATGGCGAGGCAGGGCTGGCCCGCGCGGCAGCTCTCGTGGAGGGGCACGCGGCCCGCGTCGTCGCAGCAGCGCAGCGTGCCGCCGTGGGCCAACAGGTACGCGAGCGACCGCTGGCTGCCGGCGCGACACGCCGCGTGGACCAAGGTCTCCCCGTAGCGGTTGCAGGCGTTCATGCGCCGGCCGCCGCGCACGGCCGCGCGCAGCGGCTCGAGGTCGTCGAGGCGCACGGCTTTGACCTACGTGCGATCGCGTGACAGGGCGGGGTCGAGTCGTGTTAAGGGCGCCGGTGCCTCGCGAGCTCGATGTCGTAGTCCGCGAGCTGCTGCTCGTTCGGCGTCTTCCAGTAGAGGTGGAAGGACTGGAAGCGCGTCATGATGCCCTGGGACACGACGGCGTTCTCGCTGACGGCCTTTCGCTGGATGAACTGGAGGTACTCGTAGGGGCTGAGCTGCCGCTCGGACGCGCTCGGCGACCACTCCACGGGCGCGGACCGCTTCGGGTCCATGCTTTCGTCGCTGGGTGGACTCGCCGCGGCCCGGGAGGCCCCGCGGCGCCCGGCGGTGGCGCCCGGGTGCCCCTTACGCGGCCACGCGGCCTGTTCAGAGCGGTCCTTGATGTCTGACTCAAAAGTTCAAAGTTCAACGTGATGGGTTACGGGCGCCCCATCCCCTGTCTAGACGGATTTGCATAGGCCTAGGCTTTGCATATTTTCGCGTCGCGACGAGGGTATCTCGCGGACCTTCAAGTTTCGGTTCGGGGAATGCTCCCACTCGTGAGCGCGCGCGCGCGCGCGCCGGAGCTCTCCTGCGCGGATGGAAGCAGCACGAGTCGCGTGCGGGCCGCGCCGGCGCCCGAGGGAGGGCTAGTTCCGTGCGCTGGGCGGTCGCCGAGGGAGAGGCACATTCGAGTTCGCCGCCATCTGCGCCGCGCGCACGAGCGGCGCCGCGGCCTACTACGTCAAGAGCAAGGGCGCCTAAAAATTACGATGTCCCCGTGATGTCGCGGACGACCGCGGCGAGCGCGTCCGCGGCGTAGCGGTCCTTCTTCGCGTCGAAGGCGGCGCGCGCGTCCGCGGCGTCCGGGCCGGGAAAAAAGACGTCGAGGTCGTCGTGGAGCTCGTCGACGAGGTAGCACGTCTCGTCGTCGAAGCGCGCGACGGCGTCGCGCCACGCGGCCTCGCCCAGCGCGGCGGCGGCCGCTCGCACGCGCGCCGCGGGCAGCAGCGGGTCCACGCCCTCGACGCGCCGCCGCTTCCCGCGCGCGGCGTCGACGACCGTCTTCAGGTGCGCCTCCGCGCAGCGGTGCGCGAGCGTCCGCAGCGCGAAGGGCGCGAGCGGCGCCGGGAGCGACACGAGCGCGTGGCGCGCGCCGCGCCACCAGACGTTGACGGCGCGCGTGCGCGGCGCGGAGGTGACGCGGTGCCACCAGCCCTCGGGCCAGAAGGCCGCGTCGCCCGCGCCCACGTCGAAGACGGCGGCCGGCGGCGGCGGCGCCGCGCGCGCGTGGTGCTCCCAGGCCGGCGCCGACGCGCAGAGCGCCCGCTCGCCGGGGGGCCAGAGCTCGACGGTCTTGCGGCCGGACAGCACGCACATGAAGTTCTGGTAGCCGTCGTAGTGCGCCGCCGTCGTCGTCCCGAGGCCCCGCGACGCGCCGAGCCACGCGTGCAGCGACGCGTCGCCTTCGCCGCCGTCGAGCGCCGCCTCCGCCGCGGCCCGCGCCGCCGCCGCCCAGGCGGGCACGCACGCGAGCGCGCCCGCGGCCAGGGCCTCGCGCAGCGGCGCGGCCGGCGCGCCGGACCCGGCGAGCGCGAGCCTGTGTGCAAATCAACCACTGGTTTGGGTGGTCCTGACCAAACTTCAGAATTCTCTAGCTCGGTCAAATCGAAGTCGATTCGGCTGATTTTGGGACGAATCGATTGCTCTCGTCGAGTTCTCGAAGCACAGCGGAAGTGCTTGTGTCAAAACATTCGAATACGCGCACATTGAAGTCGGGTTGAAGATTTGATTTCCACACAGGCGCGAGCTGGCAGGCGTAGAGGTCGTCGTGCGCGTCGGCGTCGTCGAAGCCGGGCACCGTCCTCGCGACGGCCGCGGCGTCCGGGTCCGCGTCGGCGTCGCGCGCGACGGCGACGGCGAGGAACGTCGCCAGCGGCATCGACACGTGCCGCTGGCTCGACGCCGCGCCGTCGAAGACCCGGGCGTCGCCGTCGCCGGGCCGCGGCAGGCTGATGCGGCAGGAACCGCCGTCGCACTGGTTCATCAGGCCGTAGCCGAGGTAGGTCTCGAGCGGGAAGGCGGCGTAGGTCGAGCCCGACGGCAGGAAGACGGGTTCGCCGGCTTCGATGGCGCTCTCGAGGGATGCGCGGAGCCTTTCCCTGGCCGCATCGCTCTCTTGCGCGTGCTCCGGCGCTTCGTCGTTTTCATTTGTTGATGGAGGTTCTTTGGCTTTGCCTTGCGCTGCAGTTTCGCCATCATCGCTCTCTTTTGCGCCGTCCATCGCGCGCCCTCAAGTTGGCGAGGGGATCGATCACTGCTCTTGCCACAAAACCACAGCCGCGCGCCGCGCTCTCGATCTGCACGCGACGCCGCAGCCCTGCTCGCTCGCCGGAGGCCGCTGAGCGCCTCGAACGCTAATAATCGTGCGCGGTCAATCGCGCGTTGCACGGAAATCGCGCGTCGTCCACAGAATCTAAATCACCCAAGCACTTTTGCACCATGCGCTCTTTGCTGCTGCTCGCCGCCGCGGCGCACGCCTTCGTGCCGCCGCCGCATCGCGGCTTCACCGCGCCGTCGCTGCGCGCGCCGCAACCGCTGCGCGAACCGCTGCCGCGCAAACCGTCCGGCGTCGCGCTCGCGGCGTCGCCGTCGGGCGCCCCCCGTCCGGATCCGCGCTTCGATCCGTTCGTCAAGCTGATCCTCTGCGTCGCCATCGACCTCGTCGGCGCGTCGACGTACGCCATCCCGGCCATCGGCGAGGGCTTCGACGTCGGCTGGGCGCCGGTGCAGGCGGCGCTCGTGAACTATTTATTCGGCAACGGCCTCATCACGGGCTTCGCGTTCCTCGAGGAGATCCTCCCGGGCACGGACTTCATCCCCACGGCGACCATCGCCTGGTTCTACGAGAACCGCGACACGGCCGGCGGCGACGGGCCGCCGCCGCCGGAGTACGCGCCGCCGGCGACGCGGCAGCCGCGGCTCCAACGAGACTCGCTCCGCGACGGCGCGATCGACGTCTAAAACGGGCCATCGCGTTGCTGCGTTACTCGCCCCTCGGGCCGGTTCGCGGGCTTCTTAGCGTGCCAAGCCGTTTTTGCCGCAGAACTGCAACGTCATATGTTGCCTTCGGCCACGCAGACGAAAATCCTCGGGTCTCATCGCCTCTCGACCATCGCCTCGTGCTGAATCGCCGTCGATCCAGAACCGCGTGTCGCAGCCATGGCGGGCGTCGATGTGTTCATCTTCTTCTGCAGCGGCCTCGGCGCGGTCTTCGCGTTGATGAACTTCTACATCATCCAGCAGACGAAGATCAACCCCGGCGCGGGCTTCGTGAACCCCAACAGCCCGCTCAACGCGGTGACGGCGGAATTGAAGAAGGTCGAGGACATCCACGCGACCATCGAGCTCGGGGCCAAGGCCTTCCTCCGCGCCGAGTACACGATCTGCGTCCAGTTCCTCCTCGCCTTCTCCGTCGTGCTCCTCATCCTCACGTCGATGGGCTCGTCCTTCGAGGACGGCATGTTCACGACGGTGGCCTTCCTCATCGGCGGCTTCACGTCCATCCTCAGCGGCCTCTGCGGCATGATGGTCGCCGTCAACGCCAACGCGCGCACGACGGTGGCCGCGGCGTCGGAGCCGCCGAGCAAGCTCACGGCGGCGTTCAACGTCGCGTTTCGCGCGGGCGCGGTCATGGGCTACGCGCTCTGCGCCATGGGCCTCGCGACGCTCCTGCTCCTGCTCCTCTGCTACAAGACCCACTTCGCGACCGTGGACACGTGGAACGTCATGATGGACTGCGCCGCGGGCTTCGGCCTCGGCGGGTCGTCCGTGGCGATGTTCGGCCGCGTCGGCGGCGGCATCTACACCAAGGCCGCGGACGTCGGCGCGGACCTCGTGGGCAAGGTCGTCCACGGGCTGGAGGAGGACGACCCGAAGAACCCGGCGACCATCGCCGACAACGTCGGCGACAACGTCGGCGACGTCGCGGGCATGGGCAGCGACCTCTTCGGGAGTATGGCCGAGGCGACGTGCGCGGCGCTGGTCATCGGCACGACGTCCAAGGACATTTTGGCCGAGGGCTGGGGCGCCGTCATGTTCCCCCTGACCATCTCCGCCGCGGGCATCGTCGTGTGCATGGCCTGCTCGTTCATCGCGACGCACCTGAAGCCGGTGGTGAAGGCGACGGACGTCGAGGCCGCGCTGAAGCTGCAGCTGATCTCGACGACGTTCCTCATCGTGCCCTTTGTGGTCTACCTCGCCAAGGCGCTGCTCCCCGAGTCCTTCGAGATGGACTCCGTGGTCTCGGGCACGATGACGTGCTCGGCGACGGGCGCGGCGATCTGCGTGTCCGTCGGCGCGCTCGGCGGCCTGCTCATCGGCCTCGTGACGGAGTACTACACGTCCCACTCCTACCAGCCCGTGCGCGAGTGCGCCTACGTCTGCAAGCAGGGCGCGGCCGTGAACATGATCTACGGGCTCGCTTTGGGCTACAAGTCGGCGATCATCCCCGTCTACACGCTCGCGGCCATCATCTACTTCGCCTTCTCCCTCGCGGACCTCTACGGCGTGGCCCTCGCCGCGCTCGGCATGCTCTCGACGCTGGCGACGGGCCTGACCATCGACGGCTACGGCCCCGTGACGGACAACGCAGGCGGCATCGCGGAGATGTCGCTCCTGCCCGAGTCCGTCCGCGAGAAGACGGACTGCCTGGACGCCGCGGGCAACACGACGGCGGCCATCGGCAAGGGCTTCGCCATCGGCTCGGCGGCCCTCGTGTCCCTCGCGCTCTACGGCGCGTTCGTCGTCCGCCTCGGCATCACGGGCGGCGTCAACGTGCTCCAGCCCCTGACGTTCGCGGCGCTCCTCGTCGGCGCGAACCTGCCCTACTGGTTCAGCGCCATGACCATGAAGTCCGTGGGCCTCGCGGCGGCGGAGATGGTCCAGGAGGTCGAGCGCCAGTTCAAGGCGGACCCGTCGCTCCTCGACCCGAACTCGTCGAGCCTCCCGGACTACGACGCGTGCGTGGAGATCTCCACCAAGGCCTCGCTCCGCGAGATGATCGCGCCGGCGGCGCTCGTCATGCTCACGCCCCTCGTCGCCGGCACCTTCTTCGGCGTCCAGGCCGTCTTCGGCATCCTCACGGGCGGTTTGGTCTCCGGAGTGCAGCTCGCCATCTCCATGTCCAACTCCGGCGGCGCGTGGGACAACGCGAAGAAGTACATCTCCGGCGGCTTCGACCCGGACCCGGCCCTCCGCAAGAAGGACGCCAACGGCAACTCGACGCCCGTGCACGACGCCGCGGTGACGGGCGACACCGTCGGCGACCCGTTCAAGGACACGTCCGGCCCCGCGCTCAACATCCTCATGAAGCTCATGGCCATCCTCTCCCTCGTCTTCGCCCAGTACTTCCAGTCCATCAACAACGGCAAGGGTCTCTTCAACGTCTAAGGCGCGCCGTCCCCGGAAATCACCGCCGCCCCCATCCCCCGCGCTCGGCCCGCGGCGCGGCGGCGCCCGCGGACCGCCCCCCCCGCCCCCCACCGGCCGAGCCCAACCACCGCACTCGGCTCCGCCGTCTCCGCGACCCAGGTTGCGTTTAACCGAGCTGGCTTGCGGGAAGTGTGTGCGGTGGCGTCGTTGTGGTCTCGATGAGGCGCCGGCTTCGACGACTCCATCGACTTCCATCGAAGCGTCCAACGCTTCAACACCGGCTCGAAGCCGCGAGGCGTTGCTGGCGCTCTCTGCCGCCATCACGAGGTCGACTGGTGTCGCCGGCCGCTTCGTCGCGCTTCGACGTTCCAGCGGTCACCGCAGCCAGCGCGCAAGGCTCCCGCGCCAGCGCCCCGCGCGGCGCCGCGCACGCACGCCGCGCGCGACGCCGAAGAACGAGCGCGAACCGACCGACCATGTCGAGCAACCCGAACCCGCAGAGCGACGACTACTACAAGGTCCTGGGCGTGCACCGGAGCGCGGACGATTCGCAGCTGAAGAAGGCCTACCGGAAGCTCGCCATCAAGTACCACCCGGACAAGAACCCGGACGACAAGCGCGCGGAGGAGTACTTTAAGGCCGTCGCCGAGGCGTACGACGTTTTGAGCGACCCGCAGAAGCGCGCGGGCTACGACCGCTTCGGCAAGGACGGCGCCAAGGCCGCGGAGCAGGGCCAGGACATGGGCGGCATGGGCCAGGGCTTCGGCGGCTTCCCCGGCGGCAGCCGGGGCCCGCAGATGGACGGGCGGCGCGCGCAGGAGGTCTTCTCGATGTTCTTCGGCGGCGACGACCCCTTCGCCAGCTTCGGCATGGGCGGCTTCGACGGCGGGCCGGGCAACATCCGCGTCTCCGTGCAGCACGGGCCCGGCGGCGCCGCGCGCATGTTCTCGACGGCGAACAACGGCGGCTTCATGGGCGCGCCGCGGCGCCAGGTCCAGCCCAAGCAGACGGCGCGCTACGACGTCTTGCCCATGGGCGCCAAGGTCGTGTTGGTGGGTCTGCAGGCCGCGGCGGAGAAGAACGACGAGGTGGGGGTGGTGGAGCGCTTCGACGCCGCGAAGGGGCGGTACAACGTGCGCCTCGACGAGGGCGGCGAGGTGCTGGCGTTGAAGGAGGCGAACCTGCAGCAGATGCTGAGCGGCGTGCGGCTGACGGGTCTGACGGAGAACCCGGACATGGACGGCAAGAGCGGCACGCTCGTCGCGACGCGGCGCGCGGGGGACGGGTCGCCGCGCTACGTGGTGGTGCTCTCCGCGACGCAGAAGACCGTGTCCATCAACGGCGCGAACCTCCTGCTGCCCCGCGGGGCGCTGGTCACGGTCGCGGGCGTCCAGGCCAAGCCCGAGCTCAACGGCCGCAAGGGCACGGTCCAGTCGTGGGACGGCGCCGCGAAGCGGTACGTCGTCCAGATCTCGCCCGCGGACCAGCTCAAGCTCAAGCCGGCGAACGTGCTCCTCTGCGCGCCCGCGGTATAGGCCCTCTAACATGTCCGCCGGGCCTTACGCGCGGGGGTGGGGGGGCGGAAGTTCGTCCTCGCGCTCGGTCACTCGCCCTCCGAGTCACTGGCAGGCCAGCTGCAGCGGCTCGAGCCTAAAAGTCTCCGCCGGGTCTTACGCGCGGGGCGGGCGTGTCGCTTGGGGGTGGGTGGGGGGGACGGGCGTGTGTCCTCGCGCTCGGTCACTCGCCCTCGAGCTCGTCGTCGTCGGGTCGGCGGCGCCGCGGCGCGAGCTCGTCGTCGTCGTCGTCGCGGCCGGGGCTGAAGAGGTCCTCGGGGTCGTCCGGGCCGAGCGCGTCGTCCGTGCGCGGCGCCGCGAGCGGCTCGTCGACGGACTCGGAGACGAGCGCGTCCGCGTTGGCCGCCCAGGACCGCGCGCCCGGCGAGGACCAGCCGACGCGGGGGCCGTCGTCGTCCGGCGAGTCGTCGGCGACGTCACCGGAGGGCCGGAGCGTGCGCGCGTGGAGCGGGCCGTAGTCGCCGAGCCACGCCGTCGCGCGCTCGCGGTCGTCGTCGCGGTTCCGGAGCACGTCGTAGGGCCGGACGTCGCCGTCGCCGTAGTCGTCGTCGTCGTCGTAGAGCTCGTCGTCGCTGAGCGGGACGCCGAAGTCGTCCGCGGGCCGCGGCTCCGGCGGCGCGGGCCGCGCGAGGTCGCGGCGGAGCGCGTCCCAGTCGCCGACGGCGTCGCCGTCGAGGAAGGCGTCGGCGATGTCGACGGCGGACGGCGCCGGCGCCGCGGCGGGCGCGCGGGCCTCGAGCGCGCGGAGCGCGTCGTGGCGGACCTCGTCGGTCTGCGCGGCCATGGCGGCGGCGGCGGCCTTGTCCGTGCGGAGGCGGCGCCGGTGCGCGTCGAGCGCGGGCTTGACCTTGGACGTGGCCTTGGCGAGGTACTTGGGCACGCGGCGGTCGCCGAGCGCGCCGCCGGAGTACGCGGCGCCGCCGCCGCCGGCGACGGACTTCTCCGCCGCGCGGCCGCGCGCGCGCGCGGAGAACCACGGCGCGTCCTGGGCCTTGGTCACCGAGGCCGCGGGCGGCCGCTGGCGCGCGGCGCTCGACGCCGTCGGCGCGGCGAGGGGCGTCGCGCGCTGGCGCATGGGCTGGACCGGCGCCGGCGGCGGCGCGGCGGCCTCGCGCGGCGGCTCGCGCGCGGGCGGCTCGCGCGCGGGCCAGGGCGCGGGCACCGTCGACGCGTCGACGGCCCGGGCCCAGGCGGGCTCGTCGACGGCGGGCTCCGGCGGCGGCGCGTCGCGGCGGCGCCGCGGGAACTCGTCGTCCCAGCCCCTTTCGGGCACGACGTAGTCGCCGCGGGAGACCGCGCGGACCATGCGGAGGAACTCGACCTCGCTGACGGACTTGCCCGCGCGCTTGCTCCGGCCCGACGCGGCGACGACGGCGCCGACCTCGAGCGGCGGGAAGCGGCGGCCGACGACCTCTTCGAGCGCGGTGCCGACGGTGTCGACGGCGAGGCGGTCCGGCGCGCGGCGGAGCGCCGCGAAGACCGCGCGCGCGCGCCGCGCCTGCTCCTTCGGCGGCGCGTCGTCGAAGCGCGACGGCGCCTTGCCCGACGAGCCGCTCAGCGCCGCCGCGACGCCGCCGGCGTCGCCGTCGACGAACGGCCACTGCTTCATGACGTCGTGGCGGACCTTGGGCGCCGCGCGCCGCGGCGCGGGCCCGTCGCGCGGCGCCTTGGGCGCGCCGCGCGGCCGCGGCCGCAGCATGGAACGGGCGCCGAGCTCGCCGACGGGCTTGCGCGCGATCTCGCCGAGCTGGCCCAGCGAGAGCTGCTCCAGCGCCACCTCGTTGAGCATGCATCGGATGCCATAGGCCGCGACGATGTCGACGATGGCCTCGCGCGCCTCCTTGGGGTAGAGCCGCGTGAACGACGAGACGGCGGCGGCCGACTCCGCTCGGAGCGCTACCATCGCGTGCTAACTGTGCAGTGGAGAATTTGAATGCTTCCCACCTCGGATGATCGATCGGGGGCATTGCCTCACGCCTTTCCTCGTAGGACGCGGCTAAGACGCGGCTACACGACGTACATCACACCTCAAAGTCCCAACAACCACAACCCCGCGAACTAACACCAGGAAGTTTAGAGCACGGGGAGCTCGGGACGCGCCTACTTCCCGAGGAGGAGGCGCGCGAAGAACGCGCGGACGTCGAGCGCCGCGAAGCCGCCCTTGGCGACCGCGGCGTCGCTCGCCCGGAGCCAGGACGTGGGGACCACGGCGAAGGCGACGCTCGCGACGGTCTCGTAGAGCGCCTGCGCGTCCGGCGCTTTCCTCGACCCGCCGAGCAGGCCTCGCGAGTACTCGGACGCGACGACGCCGTCGACGACGACCCGGCCGTGCTTCGTGAGGGGCGCGAAGAGGCCCGCGTGGCGCGCGGCGGCGACGGCGACGACGGCGTCGCGGGCGAGGGTCGCGCCGTCGGCGGCGAGGATCGACAGCTCGTCGCCGGCCGCGACGGCGCCGGCCTCGAGGACGCCGCGGTTCGCCGTGGGCACGTAGTGGCCCCGCGTGAGCGTGAGCGCGCGGCCGCCGGCGAGCTCGAGGCGCACGAAGGTCGCCTCGGCGCCCGCGTCCGCGTGCGCGCGGAGCTCCACGGGCGCGTACGCCGCGGAACCGGCGGCGTCGACGGCGAGGACGGCGTCGCCGGGCCGCAGGGCGTCGGCGCGCGTCGGCGACCCGTCGACGAGGAACGTCGCGTGGGCCGGGAAGCACCCGAGCCAGGAGTCGTCGTCCGTGGCGTCGTCGTCCGCGTCGTCGTCGCCGTCGTCGTCGCCGTCGTCGTCGCCGTCGTCGTCCGCGTAGGAGTAGCTGTAGGACACGGACGCGCTGCTCAGGTAGACCATGGTGTCCGCGAGCTCGTTCTCCTCGACGACGTCCCGCGCCGCCGGCGCGCCGTCCTCGAGGGCGGCGATGGTCGCCGTGGCGTGCTGGTTGTACTGGGCCAGCGCCACGAGGGCGAGGCCCAGCGTCGTCACGAGCGCCGCGCGCCGCACGGAGAAGCGGCCCGCCGCGCTCTTGGACCGCGACGCCGGCGGCTCCACGACGGGCGCCGCCGACTCCAGGCCCTCCACGGCGGCGTACGACGCCGCCATGCCCAGCTTCGCACTCGAAAGCAGCCCCGGCTCGTCAAGATTCGTGAAGTGGGTGAAGTGCACTCTAGTTTTACTTACAGTTTTCGCGACGCGATTCTGGGGCATGGGCAGCGTGCCCAGATCCCACAGAGCGGCATTGATGCGGTAGTCCAATTGCAAAAGGGCAGCTCCGGGCAGCCTTGAGTGTCCCGCTGCCATGGACGACGACGCCGCCGCCGCCGCGGAGGCGGCCCTCGCGGCGAAGAAGCACCTCAAGGAGCTGCGGCGCAAGAAGAAGGAGGACGAGGCCGCCGCGGCGGCCGGCGGGCCCGAGACCTTCGAGAGCCACAGCCTCGACGAGAAGCAGTACGCCTACTTCGTGGACGTCTACGGCGAGCTCGACGCGGCCAAGAAGGGCTCCGTGGACGCGGCGACGCTGCGGGAGAATCTGCGGGGCCTGGACGTGAAGATCACCGCGGCCGACGCCGAGGGCATGGTCTCGCTGGCGGACTCGAACGGGTCCGGGGCGGCGTCCCGCGGCCGCGACGTTTTTTTCGCGCGGGAACGCGCGCGGTAGGGACGATTTTTTCGCGCGGGAACGCGCGCGGTAGGTCCGGCGGCGTGGAGAGGAACGAGTTCCTGGAGATGATGGACGCGTTCTGGGGCCACCCGAAGCCGCCGCGCTGGCAGCTCTGGTGGACGTCCTGGCTCGAGGCCGCGCGGCGCAAGGAGAGCGAGGAGCCGGCGAAGGCGCCGAGGCGCCGCGGGTCCGTCGCGAAGCAGCTCGAGCCGCTGCGCCAGCCGACGCGCTGGGGCGGCGCGGGCGCGCGGACGCACCTCGACCCCGCGGCCGTCGCGGCCTGGAAGGCCGTCTTCGACGGCGTGGCCGACAAGCGCGAGACCTTCGGCCTCCGGGACCTCACGAAGGCGACGAAGTTGGGCAAGGCGGCCGCGTCGAAGCTCTTCAAGCTCCTCGACGCGACGGACGCGGGCGGCGTGTCCCTCGTGACGTTCCTCGACGTCGTCGGCGCCCGGGGCCCGCCGCCGGCCAAGGGCGCCTGGTGGAAGCCCTTCGCGTCGGACCTCGGCGAGAGCCCGCAGGCGGCGCCGCGGCGCCGCGGGTCCATGAAGCGGCGCGGGTCCGCGAGCCTCGACAGCGCGCCGTCGGACAGCGACAAGTCGTCGCTCGCGTCGCCGATGGCGTCGCCGGAGCTCCGGGGCCGGTCCCTCGAGGAGCGGCCCTCGCTCAAGCGGTCGCCGAGCCTCAGGCGCGCGTCGCGGACCGTGGCCAACGCGCAGCTGGCCCTGTCGCCGTCGCTGTCGCCGCCCGCGCCGGGCAAGCGGAGCCTGCCCTCGCTCCGCCGGAAGAGCAACGCCGCCGACGCCGAGTGACCTCGACGGCCCAATTCGCAGGACCCCCGCGCCGCCGCCTCCGTCGCCGCCCCTTTAAAGACCGCTCAGACACGAAAGCTTACTCATCGCCTTTGTGGCGGTAGTTCGGGGGAGGAGGGGGATTTCCGGGGCGCGCGGCTTACGCGGCGACCTTCTCGGCCTCGTCGTCGAGGAACTTGATGGACTTGGTGAGGGAGTCGATGATGGCGTTGAAGGTCGGCGACGGGCGCATGACCGCGTCGGCCTTGGCCGCGTCGACCTTGTAGTAGCCGCCGATGTCCGCGGGCGCGTGCGAGCCGACGGCGAGCTCCTCGAGGATCGTGGCCTCGTTCGCCGCGAGGAGCGCCGCGGCGGGCGCGTAGCGCTCCGCGAGCTCGGCGTCCGTCGTCTGGGCGGCGAGCGCCTCGGCCCAGTACTTGGCGATGAAGAAGTGGGACCCGCGGTTGTCCAGCGTGCCCGGCTTCCGCTTCGGCGACTTGTCCTCCGCCAGCAGCTTCGCCGTCGCGTCGTTGAGCGCGTCGGCCACGACCAAACCCTTGGCGTTGTTCGTCTTGTTCGCCAGGTCCTCCAACGACACGGCGAGCGCGAGGAACTCGCCGAGCGAGTCCCAGCGGAGGTGGTTCGCCGCCTGGAGCTGCTGGACGTGCTTGGGCGCGGAGCCGCCCGCGCCCGTCTCGAAGAGGCCGCCGCCGGCGAGGAGGGGCACGATGGAGAGCATCTTCGCCGACGTGCCCAGCTCCAGGATGGGGAAGAGGTCCGTGAGGTAGTCGCGGAGCACGTTGCCCGTCACGCTAATGGTATCCTCGCCCGCGCGGCAGCGCTCGAGCGTCTTGGCCATGGCGTCGGGCGGCGCGAGGATGGAGATGTCGAGGCCCGCCGTGTCGTGCTCCGGCAGGTAGGCGTTGACCTTGGCGATGAGGTTCGCGTCGTGCGGCCGCGTCTCGTCGAGCCAGAAGATCGCCGGGTCGCCCGTCGCGCGCGCGCGCGACACCGCGAGCTTGACCCAGTCCTGGATGGGGCTGTCCTTGGTCTGGCACATGCGCCAGATGTCGCCCTCGCTGACGTCGTGGGACATCAAAACGTCGCCCGACGCGCGGTCGACGACGCGGATCGCGCCGGCGCCCGGCGCGGTGAACGTCTTGTCGTGGGAGCCGTACTCCTGGGCCTTCTGGGCCATGAGGCCCACGTTGGCGACGCAGCCCATGGTCGTCGGGTCGAAGGCGCCGTGCGCGATGCAGTGGTCGACGACCTTGGCGTACGACGTCGCGTAGCAGCGGTCGGGGATGACGAACTTGGCGTCCTTGAGCTCGCCGTCGGGGCCCCACATCTTGCCGCTCTCGCGGAGGGCCGCGGGCACGGACGCGTCGATGATGATGTCGCTGGGCACGTGCAAATTCGTGATGCCGCGGTCGCTGTCGACCATGGCGAGCGGCGGCCGCTTCGACTCGCAGTCCGTGAGGCACTCCTCGAGCTCCGCGGCGATCTGGGCCTTCAATTTCTCGTCGCCGCAGGCGTCGAGCTTGGCGTAGAAGTCGCCGAGGCCGTTCGTCGCGTCGACGCCGTGCTCTTTCACGAAGTCCGCGTGCTTCGCGAACGTGTCGCGGTAGAAGGTCTCGACGCAGTGGCCGAACATGATGGGGTCGCTGACCTTCATCATCGTCGCCTTGAGGTGGAGGCTGAAGAGGACGCCCTGGTCCTTGGCGTCGTCGATCTCCGCCGCGAAGAACGCGCGGAGCTTCGCGACGTCCATGCGCGACGCGTCGATGACCTCGCCGGCCTGGAGGGGCGTGCGCTTCTTCAGCGTCTGGGCCTCGCCGCCGCCGGCGGGGACGAACTCGATCGTGACGACGCCCGCGTCCTTGTGGTCGCCGAGCGCGCCGACGACGTGCGACTGCTCGGAGCCGTAGAAGTCGCCGTCGGACATGTGGGCGACGTGGGACTTGGACGTGGGCTCCCAGGCGCCCATCTTGTGGGGGTTCGCCTTGGCGTAGTCCTTGACGGGCTTGGCGACGCGGCGGTCGCTGTTGCCCTCGCGGAGCACGGGGTTCACGGCGCTGCCGAGGACCTTGGCGTAGCGCGCCTTGCTGTCCTCGTCGTAGTCGGGCACGGCGTAGCCCTTGGACTGGAGCTCCTCGATGCACGCCTCGAGCTGGGGGATGGACGCGGAGATGTTCGGGAGCTTGATGATGTTCGCCGCGGGCGACTTCGCGAGCTCGCCGAGCGCGGCGAGCTCGTCGTCGATGCGCTGGTCCGGCGTCAGGTGCTCGGGGAAGTTGGCGAGGACGCGGCCCGCGAGGGAGATGTCGCGCTCCTCCATGGCGATGGACGCGTGCTCCGTGAACGCGCGGCAGATGGGCAGCAGCGAGTGCGTCGCGAGCATGGGCGCCTCGTCGCAGTAGGTGTAGACGACGGACGCCGTGGGCACCTCGATGCGCACGGCGCGGTACTCGTCGAGGGCGCTGCCCGTGCCCGGGCCGAACTTGTCGACGACGCGGATCCGCGTGCCCTTGGGCAGGTGCTCGAGCCACTCCCGGAGCTCCACCGTGCCGTCCTTGTTCTTGTCGAGCTGCGTGAAGAGGCTGTCGACGAAGACCTCGTCGCCGGGGATGTTCAGGTCCTCCAGGGCCTCCGTGATCTCCGCGCGGTCGAGCGCGCCGGACGCGTCGCCGTCGTAGCGCTGGAACGCCTCCGCGAGGATCGCGAGCTCGCGCTTCGCCGCGGCGGACCGCGCCTCCGCGACGTCGGCGAAGGTGCGCGCGCCGGACCGCGCGGCCTTGAGCGAGGCGAGCTTGCCGCGCAGGGCGGTCTGGAGGAGGCGGCGAGGCATCATGCTGCGCAGGGGCGGAGGCGTGGGCGATTGGGCGCGGAAACGCTTGCATCGGTGGCGCGCGCGTCTCTCGGCGGCGTTTGTTGTCTGTTGCGCGCGCGGCGGGGGATTTGGAGCGCACCTGTACTGGGCACGCGCGCCGAGAACACCGTCTGCTCAGCGAGTGGATCCGCTGCCCCTCGAGATTGGAAGATGGGGGCACTTCGGCTTCAACTTGCGCCTGCGACGGGCCGCGCACGCGCGTCCGGACCGAGACTGTGGTTTCTAGCCGCGCCCTGTCTCCTTGTAGCATATCGCCTGCTTGGAGTCGCTCGGCGCGAGGTATCCG